GGTCCGGAGCGGGCTGGGCTGCCCCTTCCCACACGAATAGTTGCGGGTTTTCTTCCGCTGCAGCGTCTGAAATAGCGGCTGCAGCCTCCCGTCATAGACAGCGAAATGTGATGGCAGCTGTGAGAGCCGCCTGGTGTCGCGGAACTGCATCCCCTGCACGGGAGCATGGAGTGGGTTCATGGTAACAGTTCTACCGCCTGCCATGGGCAGGGACGCCTTCCACTATCCCAGGTTGTTACAAACCGTGTCCAACTGGCCGTGGACACTTGAAGGAATGGGGCAGCCACAGCTGCTCTGGGCAGCCTTTGCCAGGGCYTCCCCACGCTCACAGCCAGGAATTCCTTCCCAGTATCCCATCCATCCCTGCCCTCTTTGCACTGGGAAACTATTCCCTGGGTCCTGTCCCTCCATCCCCTGTCCCAAGTCCCTCTCCAGCTCTCTTGGAGGAATATCTGCAATTTCACCATGCAAAAAATACCCTTAGTAGTATTGTTTAATATGATTTTTTTTTTTTAAATCTAGAAATAGATCTTTGCAATTCACATCCTATTTGGCATAAAATAGCTCAGGTCTCTCCAGATACTAAAGCCTGTATTGCAAACAAACACTTCTGAAGGATTCAGGTAACTGCTGAACAGCCCTTCTTACTGCCATCCATGCAGCTTATGACCTTCTGGATTCAGGAACACTTCAATATCATTCTATTTGAATCTTCTTTTTAAATTAATATTRAAAAGATGCCTAAGAGCTTAAAAGGAAGTATCAGGAATATACTACATCACAATACCCAAATTTAGAGCAATTTAATTCTGGAAAAGCAACTTAAAGATAATTTACTTTTCTTAAAGAAAGCAATCCTTTAGGCACTGGAAGAGGCTCTGAGCTCTTTCCGGAGCCCTCTCTTCTCCAGGTGAACATTCCCAGCTCTCCCAGCCCAGGTCCAGAGCAGGGGAGTCCAGTCTTTGGAGCATCTCCATGGCCTTTTCCCCTGAGCAGTTTCATGTCCTCCTGATGCCGAGAGTCCCAAGGCTGGACACAGAACTGCAGSTGGGGCTCCAGAGAGGTCAGGTTGCCTCTAGAAGTCCAGGTGCCCAGCACATCTGGAGATGCAGATATTGAGCAAGATCTTCTTCCTTGGTAGGATGAACCCTACATCCAGGTATCCCTAATAAAACAGCTCTTCCTGCCCTTTGATCCTCATTACATCTGTCTTGTCAGTGGAGGTTGAATGGAAAGTAGTTCTTGGCAACAGRTGTAAATTCATGCTTGATTGGGAAAATTTGGGAAAAGCTTGTATTCTGTAAAGCACTGAACTCTATAGCACAAGAACAATTGTTTAAAAATCTGTAGCCTCTGACCTCATGGCCCAGAGAAGCACTCAGCTCTCCCCCACTGTTTCTTCCCTCTGTTAAATGTGATTTTATACTTGTTCCTCATGCTGTGAATTCTCCCTGRTGCTGAGCTGATTCTGTCCTTTTCTGGGTTTGTCCTGCCTGTCCCACCTGTGGTAAAACAGGAAAAACCTGCTTTATCACCAAGAACAATGTCTTAAGCTGGGTCCATCCCAATAAAATGTCATMATAAAGTTAAATAAAATACACTRATTTAAATCCTAAAMTCTCTTCAGCAATCTYAGCCTTGTCCTGCAYTTCACTTAGGCAAAACCTAAATAAYTGTACAGCACAAATTCAGGCTACTGAAGGAGGACAAACGTTGGAGGAAAAGTGTGAAGTTATTTTCAGAGGTGGGGAAGCTGAAGGCAGACACCTCCTGATGTGAGACTGGGCAAATTGGGAAACTGGAGGCTGGAACAGTCTCCAAAGTGTTGAGTTTTTTCTGTTGTTGCTCATTTGCAGTTCAGGGTGAGCACCTGAAGAATGCAGCCTTGTCACAGGAGAACACGTCCCTGAGCATCACACGGATATAAAAGAGGGAAAAAACAACAACAYATCTTTAATTAATGAGAGATTCTGTCCCTGTGGGTCCATCTCTTGCATCTCAGATGATGCATCAAACTTCATCTGCCCTGCCCTGCCAYGCAGCCAGCCAGGCCTCTGGCAAGAGATTATCCCCTGGATGTCAAACAGCAACTCAGGCCCCAGAAATCACATCAGCCCAAGGATAAACAGCATATCAACAAAACCATTAACTGCAGCAGTAACAAACACATTCCCTCCTGTCCTTTGCTCTCCCTTCCCTGAGCCATTATACCCCATTTTCAAACACTTTTCTGGAAATAGGCTGAATGGAAATAGATGCTGGGATTTCCCTCCTGGCCAGGGCTGTGAGAGGTATCACAGGAATCCTGATGAAATGGCAAGCACTGAAATACAAGAACAGATTTCTGTTCTTTTGTGAAGAAATTGATTTTTGCCAGAAACAACATGCTGCAGCCCAGCGTCTGTTCTTGTTAGACTTCAAGTCCTTCCAGGAGGAGTCCTTCAGCAAATTGGCTCATTTAGACACAACAGCCAGGAGCATGGAGAGAAAAAAAAGGGTTTTGTTCAAGGAAAGCCTCTGTATTGTAAACAGGATAAAAGGGGTTGGAGAGAGTCACTTATCACTGTCTCTCATGTCCCCAGGTCATTCCTGTGTAGCATCTACTGGAGAAAAAGGATTTCATRTTCCCTGCTCTCCCAGAAACCCAACTGGGGGTTTTTCTCTATCACACAATCAGCAGACCCCATGTGCATTCAGCAGCAGCTTTCAAACCCCACTGCTGTGTTCCCCATTGCCCTCCTCTGCCTTGTGAAGCCTGGCAGCACCCAAGGGAGAGCTGGATCCTCCCAGGGTCTCCTTTGCTCTGCCTGCACCAGCCCGTATCCCCCTCACAGCCATGGGATTTGGGGCTCTCTCCAAAAGCACTGGTGCTCTGTTTGATACCAGACCCCAATAATGCATCTCTCCCTGTTTCTCTGAGCATGGTCCC